CAAGCTAGGTGCGCTCGCGTCATATCTGACATCCTACCCCTCCCTCCCATCCCTTTCCATGGCGTAGATCCCCTCTTTACTCGCACAGTCGGATGTCGAGCAGGGCAAGGATCCCGAAAGGGTACGCGATGCATTGTAGAGCACGGCGTGGCATGGCGTAGAAGAGCACCGCAAAGCGTAGTGTCAACCTAGCATTGCATAGCATTGTATGCATGCCGTGGCATGGCACGGGAAAGGACGCCAGCGCTGCAGCGGGCGCACGAGTCGAAACGAGCGGAAGCGCGGAAATGAGGCCAACGCTGCAGCGGGAGCACGATTCGGAACGAGCGGAAGCACGGAAATGAGGCCAGCGCTGCAGCGGGAGCACGATTCGGAACGAGCGGGGCCCGAAAATGAGGCCGGCGCCTCAGCGAGAGCAGCATTTTGGAAAAAATGCTGGCGAAAACCCAAACTCCGGGGAAACCTGTGTAAAAAAAAACAATGCGCGGGGGGGTCGAGCAGCACTTTCAAACCGTCATCAGGGGAAGAGGGAGAATAGTATTCATATTGAGTAATTGTAAAGGGGGGGGGACAGGAGAGAGGGAGGGGGTGGACAGGGGAGGGAGGAGGGGGGAAAGGAGACGGGGGAGGGACAGGAGAGAGGGAGGGGGACAGGAGAGAGGGGGGGGGGACAGGAGAGAGGGGGACAGGAGAGAGGGGGAGGGGAGAGTGGGGGGGGACAGGAGAGAGGGGGGGGGGAAGGAGAGAGGGAGGCAGGGGGAAAGGAGAGAGGAGGGGGGGACAGGAAAGATGAGAGAGGGTGAGGGAGGGGCCGGGATCATCACCGTCTCCATCACCATCACCATCACCATCGTCACATCACCATCATCATCATCATCATCATCATCATCATCATCATCATCATCATCATCATCCTCATCCTCATCCTCATCCTCATCCTCATCCTCATCCCCATCCCCATCCCCATCCCCAACATCATCATCATCACCACCATCATCATCATCATCATCATCATCATCACCACCATCATCATCATCATCACCATCACCATCATCATCATCAGCATCATCAGCATCATCACCATCATCTGGAGCGCCCCGGATCGGCGGCACCGGCCGGAGGCCACTACAATATAGATATATGTGTATGTGCGTTTTCGATAAACCCTGGATCCCCAAAACTGGTTCATATCTTCCGCCGTCTTCCACCAGCCTTCCACCGCCGTCCCGCCAAGGAAGAGATGCCAACCGTTTCGACCCTCGAAAAAAGAGGCCCTTCCTGGAAAGCCCCAACGTGCTACCCGACGTCGCGAAACATTTCAGCATCGCGAACGACTCGACCAGAACCGTGGACCCCTTCTTTCTGCCGAATGTCTAGGACCAGCTCGATCCGTGCCCCAGGGCCCGCAGCAGGGCAACATTGCCCGCCGTGGTCAAAAGACAGACGCCACGATCTGAGAGCACGCGCCGCTGTTCCCCGCATCTCCAGTGCATGCTTGGCCGCGTGTCTTTTCGGCGCGCGGTGGCGAGCCACAGGCCCACGAGGACCAGCAGTGCCGCGGAGCAGGCCGCCAGGCGCGTCGACTCCAGGAGGGGCCGCAGCCTGTCGGCGAGCGAGGGCTGCGACCCGCCGGGCCCGAGCAGCAGCGGGGCGGCGTCCACCTGCAGCGAGCCCTTGCCGCGCTTCCTCGGGCACCGGCGTGGAGTGGGGTGCCCCCCTGCTCACCCGAAAGAGCAAAGCAACCGCTTGGCGCCAAACGCCCGCCGCGCTAACTCGCTGGCCCAACGGGCCAGAGGCGTGCTAAGATCTCCGGTAACTACTTAACAATACTTCTAGTTCGCGCGCGCGCGCGGGGCGGCCCCTGGGGGCCCTCGGACGACAAGTACCCCGGCTGACTGCCGGGTCCCGGCCGGGTCCCGGGCGATCCCCAGGGGGGAGGCTATTGTTCGCCACCTCTCACGAGGATCGTGGCCTCCGAGGGGGTGGCTGCAATCGACTAACCCCCCCCCCCCGCCCCAAGGGGCCCCCAAGAGCCCCCTAAAGTGCCCCAGGGGAGCCCAAGACGCCGCCAAGGAGCCCCAAGACGCTCCCAAGAAGCCCCCAAGAGGCCCCCAAGACGGCCCCAAGAGGCCCCAAATAGCGCTCCAGGGCCGGCGGAATGAGCGAAGCGATTAAATTAAGGCGAAGAGAGGGGCCCACGACGAGCCCAGCGCACCTCGTCGTGCGCCCCCGGGGGCGGCGACGCGCTCGAGCTCCTGTCCCCCGCTCCCGTCCGCTCCATGTTGCTCAGCCCTTCCCGCCCAAGGGCGGGGCAGACAAGACAGCGGGCACGGGGAGAAGGGAGGAGGAGGAGGAGGAGGAGGAGGAGGAGGAGGAGGAGGAGGAGGAGGAGGAGGAGGTGGAGCGTGACCGAGGAGTAGGAGGAGGAGGAGAAGGGGGAGGAGGAGGAGGGAGGGGGAGGAGGAGCGAACGAAGACCAATCGGAAGGAGGAGGAGGAGGAGGATGAGGAGGAGGAGGAGGAGGAGGAAGAGGAGGGGAGGAGGAGGAGGAGGTGAGGGAGGAGGAGGAGTGAGGAGGAGGAGGAGGAGGAGGCGAGGAGGAAGGAGGAGGAGGAGGAAGGAGGAGATTAGGAGGAGGAGGAGGAGGAGGAGGAGGAGGAGGAAGAGGAGAAGGAGGAGGAGGAGGTCGTCTCCCCCCCTCCTCCGAATCCTGGGTCCGCGGTGGATCCCGGCCGTCTGGCCGCTCTCAGGCCAAGGCGCTGCCGTGCACCCTGCGGGGCGCGCCGCCCGCCTCCGGGCCCCCTTCACGAATCCGCGCCCTCGCGGTCTGGACTCCGAGGCGCCATCCCGCAGATGCACGGTCGCACGGGCACGCTCCACGCGGAGCCTCCGCGAAGAGAGCGTTCCGTGTCCGCGGGGCCGCGGCCAAAGGGCGGCCGGCCCCGGAGTGCCGCGGCTGCGGAGATGATGTTGTTCGTTCGTGACCCTTGCCCACGCGGTGGCGCAAGTGACATGTGGCGCGAGCTTCCCGAGGACGAGGAGTCGGAGTCGCCGCCAGACGTGTCATCAGGGCAGGCCAGGCGTCTAGGAGGCGCGCACTTGCCGCGGACGCAACGGCAGTGGAGACTTCTCATCGGTCTCGGCGTCGTCCCGCTGCTGCTCGCGATCCGCCAGCCCCGAGCAGCAGTGGGGTGGCGCCTACCTGCAGCGGGCCCGTCCCGCTCTTCCGCGGGAATTGGAGGCGCATTTGCCTCGGTGAGTGGGAACGTTGGGGAGGATCGCGCTGGTATCGGCGATACATCGCCGATAGATCGGCGACAGGCCCCCGATAGCGAACACACACGTGCCTGGACGGTGTGGGAGATCGGGCCTCATCGACGATGAATGGGCAATTGGGGGTCGATGCATCCCCCCCTGAGCCTAGCCCCCGCTAACGTTGCCCTGACGGCCCCAGCGTTGCCCCTGCATCCCCCCTCACGTTACCTGAGCACGAGGACGCACGAATCCGTTTCGGTGGTCCTGCAGGCACGTCCAGGCCGACGCGAAGCCAATCGCCAACCCGAAGCTGCAGCCACCCCGCACCGACCTCTTTCGCGCCCGAGAGGGCAGTCTTATCAGCACAGGCCGCGCACGGCAACCACCGCCGAGGCCCTGGGAGCCAGCTGCCCCCGCCGGGGGAGGCCGTGCCCCTGTGCAAGTTCCCCTCCCCCCCTTGCCAGGAGGGGAAAAACACACAGACACAATTAATCGTCGATTCCACCGAAAATATGGGAAAATATGGGACGTGGGGGGTAAGACAAAAACCCAGAACATATGCGAAAATGTGGGGAATCCTGTTATTTGTGTTTATTTATTTGTGCGTCCTAGGGCCCCTTCACCCTTGACGGTCCCCACCGGGGGTCCTCACGGGGTCCCCCGGTGGGGACCGTCGCCCTCAAACAGGCCACACGCAAGATTCGTTTCTAGTTGGAGAAGGGGCGGACACCTTCACGCCAGCGTCCCATCGTGAAGCACGGCCTGCTGAGGGCACTGCCACTGCCTGACAGATCTGGCCACCACCACCACTGAGCCGAGCATCGGCGCAATTGGCAACTCTTCGGGGAATGCACTGGGAACGACGGCGCAGGTACTCGACTGTGAAGCAGAAGGAACAACAGGCCGGGACAGGAGGGAGAGCAGGAAAGAAGAGAGGAGGGAGGGGCGGGGCTGACCATGGCTGTGGTGGGCGGAGAGCAGTACGAGACGCCGAGCGTATGCGTTGGCGCAGGTTCCTGTCCAGAGCGCTGTGCGGGGCCCCCTGAACGCACAGCGGCAACCCAGCGGGGACGAGCGAGGGAGGGCGAGAGCGAGAGAGAGAGAGGGCGGATGAGAGACGAGAAGCGCCAAGCAGGCGACGCGCAGGATTGGCCCTGGACAAAAGGGGGACCTCTGGGGCACGGCTTGCCCATCGTGGCACGCGGTGCGTGCACGGGACTGGCCCACGCGCGCTCCCCGAACGCCGCGCATCGAAGGTCACTCTGGCGAAGGATCATCCGTAATCACGCTCGGCATGAAGCAGACGAATGAAGCGGGTTCTAGAACCCAGGGCCTTCACAAGGAAGCAATTTTCGTCCTGAATAGTTTGCAGACGGCCCCTGGTGCCGTGGAGGGCCCCATGCAGGAAACTAGGCACGGGGAAAGTGTCTCCAGTAGAGAGGATCAACAACAGAAATCATTCACCCCGGCATTGATTTCTCAGTCGGTTCTACGAAACATACGTAGAAGGCTCTGTAGGTTTACAGAACGTCCTACGTGATTCTCGTAGATTCGACGGCAAATCTATGTTTGCAGAAATCGTATCTGGACACTCTCCTATCGGGCCCTTTACACAAACGCCGCAGGGCAACGTGTACTGTAGAATTATCCGCCCTGTTCTCCGGCCGACAGGTGCTGACAAAAAAAAAACATGTACGCTGCGTTTGGGCCGTCCTTTGCCACTGCGTAGTGAGCAAACATAACAAGAACATAATACACAGTCGGGCCTAGACCAGAAAAAAAACATCTCTCAATACCCCTGAGACCCTGAACCTGCCAAACTTAATAGAAAATCCAAGGGTACCCTCCCCAAGATGCACAAGAACGCCCAACAAACACGAAGACGTCCATTCCCCGTGCAGTTTCCGGCTCCGAGCGTGTTTTGAAGCACATAATTTCCAGCCTGACGATCCAGGCTGCTCTTCGCTGGTCCTCACCGAGAACAGGTGCACACGTCCGAGTGATGCCGAGTTCAGACGAGCGCGTTCCACTACTCGCAAAGTGGCTCCTCGCAAATGGCCTGGATCCGCCGGGGGGGACCTGCGAGAAATTACATTGAAGCAGCCATGCGTTTTTCGGACGTCTGCGAGTGGGCACTTTTTGCGAGCAGCGGGAACGCGCTCGGTGAGAGCTCTCTGCTCCCCCTTTCGCGGCCGCCCGCGCTCCAGCCCAGCGGCATCGCGCACGCGGCCCGGGGCCCTCCGGCCCAGCGGGCCCCCCGGCGAACCGCGGGGCCGCGATGGGATGAGCCTGCCGGGGGATGCCGCCCTCCGCCGCCGCCGCGCCTGGCGCTGCCACTTGTGCCAGCTCGGAGGCGAGGGGGGGGGGGCGAGACAGTCGAGGTACCGCCAGAAAAAGACGCAACACGAGGACCGAGGCCCCTTCATGACCCCAGAAGTACCCTGGTGCTCGAGGGGGGCTAGCAACAGAAGGCGCGAGGCCCCTTCTTGACCTCAGAAGCGCCTGGGTGCTCGAGGAGGGCTGGCAAAAGAAGGAACCAGGCCCCTTTTTGACTCCAGAAGCGCCTAGGTGCACGAGGAGGGCTGGAGGAACCACCACGGAAGCACCCAAGGAACAGCGCGCCCCTTCCGAGCCGAACGCGGCCCTTACCTCAGCGCCTTGACTGTCGGGGGGGGGGGGACTCCTGGGACGGAGTTTCGCCCCTGAGGTCCTGGCGTCACATGTTTCTTCGAGCCGGTCGTTCTTGCCCCGCTTTGGGCCCAAGGACCCTCCGAGATCGACCTGGCTCGAACCATGGTGCAGGAAGGTAGTGTCCAGGCCCCTGGCCGCTATTTGTCAGAATGTTGCAGTGTCTCGCGTCGTCGGATCTCAGGGGGGCTGGAGATTTGGGAACGTTTTCGTTGGTTTCCTGCCGCTTCCCAGCCTCGGGATGCCTTCCAGCGGCTGCGCCTCGCCGCGAGCGTGCTGGGGAGTCCCAGATCGTCCCGAACGACCGCCAGAGGCACAGGTTCGGACCAGGGAACCACAGGAAACACAAGGGGGATCGGCTCAGGGGGGGAAACACCGGGCCGGAATCGACGATGCACCGCCGACGGATCGGCGATGGGCCCCCGATGGGCGAGCCCGCACGCTGCTGGGCGGGGCGATCTGCCGGGCCCCACATCGGCGATGATGGAGGGGCCCAGGGACACGCAAAGAAATGCACACAAATGACAGGATACCCCGTGTGTTCTGGGATATTTTGCCTTCCCCCCACTTCCCATATTTTCCCACATGTTCTGGGCATCGACGATTCATTGTGTCTGTGTGCTTTTTTCCCTCCTGAGGTGACTGGGCGACTGGCGGTCGAATGCTTCCCCCCCTTCGGCGGTGGACAACCCTCCCTCCTCAGCGAAAACGGCCTGGGACCGAAACCGACGGACCCGCAAAAAAGGACGGCCGCGACGCCCCCCTCGCGAACCGAACACGGCCAATTCCGAGCAGGAGGCCTCCCCACCCACCTCCGCCCCCCTCCAGGCAGGGCAGGAGGCCCCTCCACCTCCGACCCCCCTTCCGAGCCTGCCTGCCCCCGACCCCCGGGGACTCTGCGGGCCGCGGCTCGGGCCTCCGCCGGCCGCGCCGAGGACGATCTCCGAGCAGTCCCCGCGGAGCGCCCTCGACGAGGCGCGCGGCCGCCGGAGGGCACCCCGAGGCTGCAGAGCCGACGAGGGGCCGGCGAGAGCGCCCGAGATAGCCTAAACAGAAAGACTCGGAGGTCCGCGCGGATTTCTCGGATCGGCGCTGGGGCCCCGCGGCGGCGCCTCCGGCGCCGCCCCTGGCGCCGACGAGGGCCGACGAGAGCGCCCGAAAGCCTCAAGCTCGACTACGAAACTTCCCCGCCTCTGGACCCGTTACCGTGCATGGACATTACCTTCGAACCCTGTGGCCCAAGATGCCCCCCCGACCCCCCGAAATGAATATTGATGGCGTGGCGACGGGGGGGGCGTGAGTGGACAGAAATCCGCCGATCCGGCGTGTGAGTTTCAAGGAGTCTCAGCTACAGCCTCGAGGCTGAGCCTCAGCCTCTGGGGGGGTTGCCGGGGTGGCTCTGCCGGGGAAGGGGGGGTGGGGGGGGGGGGGTGCGAGTTTCCGGCGGATGCGTTTTTTGACACCCCTCACAAGGATCGTGGCCTCCGAGGGGGTTCCGAACTCGAGTACCACCCCTCCCGCACCAAGAGGCTCCGAGGAGGCCTCCAAGAGGCCCCAAGGGGCGCAGAAGAGGCCCCCAAGAAGCCCCAAGAGGCTCCCAAGAGACCCCCAAGAGGCCCTCTAGTGGCCCCAAGAAGCCCAAGAGGCCCCCAAGAAGCCCCAAGAGGCGCCCAAGAGGCCCCCAGAAGTCCCAGCCAACCACGAGATCCCAACCAGCATCCATGAGGCCTCTGACCCACCACCCACGCACGGTGGCGGGATAGGCCGACGGCCACTGGATAAATGCTGAGTGAGAGGAGGGGAGGGAAAAAGAGAGGAGGGACGAGGGCGAAGCAGGATCACATCAGTCGGAGCGCCCCGGATCGGCGGCACTGGCCGAAGGCCACTACAATATTCGAACCCCAGAGCACCGCCTTTACTGAGATCAACATTGATGTCGGGGGCGCGGGGGTGATTTAGAATCTCCCTCGAATGTGTGAGGGTTCGAAGATATTGTCCATCTACTGTCCCTTTTGTAACGTTTCCCCTGAGGCGGGGGGTGCAGAGCGCCAGGATCGCGCCCTGGCGCTCGAGACCGCGCAGCCAGCAGGCGAGCCCGGGCGCGCGCGCGGGGGAATGAGCGCTTCTGAGGAAGAGGGGGACAGGAGGAGGGAAGAGGGAGGAGCTAGGAAGAGGAGGAGGAGTAGGAGAAAGGAGGAGGAAGCCCCGACCAGAGCGTGGGAGGAGAGGGCGATCTGGGCTCGGCAGGAGCGCCGCCCCCAGGTGAGACGCCCTGCCATCTCGTCGCTCGGGAAAATATCACGACGGGTCCTTGATCGGTAAGTTGAGCAGGGACCGACCGTCCCGGCATTCCTATAGTCATGCCACGAAATGCTCTTAGAACCCAAACATGCTCTAATAACAAAAACAGTGCTTCTTAGAACATGAACCCGATGTGTGTTAAAACAAGGCAGCCCCAGCCAGAAATGTTCTAACATTTCGTGGGAACTACAAAAGGTTTAGAACATTGTTTGGTAGGGCTATAGGCGAGCCAGGACGCTTCGCCGCTGCTTGAGTAAGCTTTCAGCCTCCGGGGGCCTCGCTGGGCCACGGGGCCGTCGAAGCACGGGTCCTGCTGCAAGGGCCCCGGACCTCTGCGGAACCACGCTGCGAAGAAAGCACTCCGCCGGACGCCTGGGAGCACCCGACAAACCCTGGAGAGCCCTCTCCCCTCGGCTCTCGTCACGTGCGGCTGGTTCGCGTCGCGATGTCGTGGGCGCTGGTCTCTGACGCCCGGTGAACCGCTCCACCTCGAACGATCGCGGCTCTCCGACAGCGCCGAGCGATCGACCCCGGCCGACTCTGGGCCACCAACGGCGCTCCATCTTGAACGCCCGCGCGGGTGCCGCCGCCGCGTCAACGCGGCGCAAGCCCACCTGCCGTAGGGGTCAGGGCCCCGTACTCCCCCAGCGCTCTCTGCCCCGCGGCGCCGCTCGAAGGAGAGGCTCCTCCTCCTCCTCCTCCCCCTCCTCCTCCTCCTCCTCCTCATCCTCCTCCTCCGCCTCCTCCTCCTCCTCCTCTTACTCCTCCTCCTCTTCCTCCTCCTCCTCCTCCTCCTCCTCCTCCCCCTCCTCTTACTCCTCCTCCTGCTCTTACTCCTCCTCCTCCTCCTCCTCCTCCTCCTCCTCCTCCCCCTCCTCCTCCTGGGGATGCCCCGCTCCTCTGGGGCTCCTGATGCTCTGGCCGAAGCCAGCACGAGCGAGCGAGCGTCTGCGCTCAGCCCTGCAGGGTGACGCATCTGGGCTTCAGGCCCGGCGCAGGCCCGGCAAGGGTTGCCGAGGCCAACCTAGATCGGCGGAGAGGGGGAGAGGAGGAGGATGCGGCGGAGGAGGGAAGGAGGGAAGGAGGAGGATGAGAAGATGGGGAGAACGAGAAGCGAGGGAGGGAGGAGGAAGAGAAGGCCGAGGGAAGAAGGAGAAGGAGGTAAGGGGACGAGGAGGAGGAGGAGGAAGAGGAGGAGGAGGAGGAGGAGGAGGAGGGAAGGAGCAGGAGGTGAAGATGAGGAGAATGAGAAGCGAGGGAGGGGGGGAGGAGGAATAGAAGGCCGAGGGAAGAAGGAGAAGGAGGTAAGGGGACGAGGAGGAGGCCGAAACTGGGGCTATCATCCCAAACACCGAATTCATCGTACCAGAGATAATTGGAGCTCGGTCGAACATGTCAGTCAGCGCCAGAAGTGGGCGACCGCGTAGACGGGGACGACGACTCTACACGGCTGGTAACAATCGAGCATCCCGATAGATCTTCTATCCTGGATACTGCTCTTCCTCAGTGCTCCCCAGATCTCCGACGTCGTGATTCTACCCATTCCTCTGCCACATCAACATCCACATGTTTGATGCTGACCCTGCCAGCTCGCGAGCGTGACGTCCGCATCTTGAGCCAAGCGAAATGAGATCAGATCCACAACCCCAATCAGGGTGGAAGGTCGATTCTGGTTATCGTTGCGATCGTGTCTATCGTTGTCATCGTTGTGATCGTTTTGATCGCTGCCATCGCTGTTCTCATTGGTATCGCTGTTATCGTTATGATCTCTGTGATTGTTATGATCGTTGTCGTTGTGATCGTTGTGATCGTTGTGCTCGTTATCGTTGTCGGGGGTCCCAAAGCGGTGAGGTGACGGACCGTGCAATGACTTAGAATGATCTCCGAAGACCTCACAACGCGGTCCGGAGCACCGCACGGCCTTGGAACCCTGGAGGCCCCAATTTTGCCCCGACGTCCTCAGTGAACAGCCCGAGCCCCCAAACCGTGCGGCCACCCAACGACAACGAGCAAGCTCGAGCAAACTTAGCCAGCGAGTTCAAGCCGAGGATCGGCAAAATCCTCGGCGAGCCTTTTTTCATCCCGTGTCACGCACTGTCGCTGGGTACACCAGAAGCACAGCATTGATCGTTGATCGTTATCAATCGTCTTCCCTTGGCACGGTCCAGTGCCTCTTGTACCTTAAAAGCCACCGATCCCTACCCTGCGCACCCTCCTGCCGAGGCCGAGGCATCGCCAGCTCGATGCCTAGGCATCACCAGGTCGACGCCTGGGCATCGGCTAAGCCCAGCTACGTCCAGCTGCGTCCATGGACGCATCCTTCGATGCATGCGTAGGCATCCCCGTGCAGATGCCTGG